GGGAGAAATTTAATGAAATACAACAAGGGCAAGTGTAGAGTCTTGCATCTGGGTAAGAACAACCCCATGTACCAGTACGAGTTGGGGACTGAACTGTTAGGGAACAGCACAGGGGAAAGGGACCCGGGGGTCCTGGTGGACAGCGGGATGACCATGAGCCAGCAATGTGCCCTTGTGGCCAAGAAGGCCAATGGCATCCTGGGGTGTATTAGAAGGGGTGTGGTTAGTAGGTCCGGAGAGGTTCTCCTACCCCTCTACTCTGCCCTGGTGAGGCCGTATCAGGAATATTGTGTCCAGTTCTGGGCCCCTCTGTTCAAGGACAAGGAACTTCTTGAGAGAGTCCAGCGCAGGGCCACAAAGATGATTAAGGGAGTGGAGCATCTCCCTTATGAGGAAAGGCTGAGGGAGCTGGGTCTCTTTAGCTTGGAGGAGACTGAGGGGGGACCTCATTAATGTTTATAAATATGGAAAGGGTGACTGTCATGAGGATGGAGCCAGGCTCTCCTCAGTGGCATCCAATGATAGAACAAGGGGAAACGGATATAAGCTGGAACACAGGAGGTTCCGCTTAAACACGAGGAAGAACTTCTTCCCAGTAAGGGTAACAGAACACTAGAACAGGCTGCCCAGAGAGGTTGTGGAGTCTCCTTCTCTGGAGATGTTCAAAACCCACCTGGATGTGTTCTTGTGTGATCTGGTCTAGGTGGTCCTGCTCAGGCAGGGGGATTGGACCAGATGATCCTTTGAGGTCCCTTCCAATCCCTAACATTCTGTGATTCTGTGAACAGAAGTCTATGAAACATGGTATGACCAAGAAAGAGAAATTGTCTGGGACAATTTCCATATGCTTAACAAAAAAAATACCATGGGGGATTTGGATGAGATACTAAGAGATGCATTAACTTCTGAACCTGAATAATTATATCTTTGTATATATTACACAACTGAGAAGCTGCAACAGATGGTTGTGAATGGATGTAAGAGAATGTCAGTCATAATTACTTGCCTGGTTTAACAGCTGTGCTTTTTGAAGAAGAATATTCGAGAGTTGATGGATATGTCACACCTTTCCTTGGCTTGCCCTCTACAAAAAAAATAAAAATCATTAGACAGCATCACAAAATATTCTAAATTTTCTTGCAACAAAACTCCCATCTAACATATGCATTCAGAATCAGGCCCTGCTTCTTTACTGCCCAACTAATATTCTTAGAGATTTCTTTCATCTGATGGTAGAATCTCAAAACGATGCCACTAAAAATACCCATGCCTAAATCTACCATCACAAAAAAAGAAGTTAGAAGGTGTAAAAACACAGTCCTGGGAAGGATTTGAAGAGGTCAGTTTGTTCATTATTTTGCTCTCAAATGGTGTTAAGCATAAGGGGACTGCTCCTGAGGGACATCTGTATAACCTGTACTTAAACCCACAGCCTCCCTAGGCAGCCTTTTCCAGTGCCCAACTATGCAATTGAGTTAGAAATCACGTTTGATGTGGGATTCATTTCATCACGCACACGGCATTCTTCTTTGACCTCACTTTTGCAACATACCATTTCTGGCAATGGTCTTTTGCAGTAATAACAGTGAGAGAAGACTGTGCTTGTGTGTGGGAACATATGGTGCCTATATTTAGATTTAAAATGAGGATCCTGTCTTAAAACAATGAGGTATGTTTCCCAGTTAAGCTTTAAACCGCAAATCTTTTTAGTGCTGCACCAAATGCCATCTGTATCAGTACCTGTGGCCATGCAACTCCATCTCTTGGGGCAGTTTTTATATTCCTGAGGCATGTCTATATCACTGAATGAAAAGTGTTGCAAAGAAGCCTAGTGTAGGGCCTCTAGAATCTGCAAGCAACTTATCTGTGCAAGCTTGAATGGTGGATGTAGGACTTCTGGACTCCCAGTGACTCTCTCTACAAGATGCTGTGCTGTGTCACGTGTCTGGACCACCTCAGGTGAGACCTATCTCCACCTCCTGCAAAACCTGAGTCATGATGGTGATGCTAGGTTTGCTAGGTTTTTTCCTTTATTCGCTCAGTGGATTCTTTTAGAAGTTATATATGGCACTGCGAGCATGTCAGTTGTCATCGTGGGTGATTAATCCAGAGACCAACAGCACTGAACAGAATTAGCTGCTACAGACTGAGCTAGTCCTGGGAACTGAGGGCTATGTCGCCCATGATGGCGCACAAAGAAAGGTATATTTGAAAGGAACTGGTCCTCTCACATATGGGTATATGTGCAGGGATGGCCATGGAGCTGGAGAGGCGTTGTCCTTTGTCCCTTTTCATGTCTCTAGCTCCTCTGTTTTACTCCTCTCTGAAATTTCAGATATTAAAAAATTCTACATGAGGTAGTTAGAGTTACTAATAAGGCAATGATGTAAAGCGCTATTCTTTCTCATTTACAGCGGTATAAACTTAGAGCAGCTCCACTGAAGTCAACATGGATCTGCCGAAGATCAGAGCTGGTAAGTTAGCATGCAAAGACAAGCTGGAAAGAGCTTCCTCCTTGCCCTTGGGTCTCTCACAGAAGCTGGCCTAAGTGAAGGGCAGGAGATCTTCAGTTCCACTTCTCCCGGAGCTAAAATCACGATCAGGAGCCAAGCAGGACTAGGGAGCTCTTCTGCCAATTTGGCAGAAAGATGAAAAAGTTATAGGATTGCAGATGATTTCTAAATGCATTTCTTTATCCCCAACAGAGGCAGAGTTGTCAGGTATGAGTGGTTGGTACATGGATGCAGCAATAGCATAATAATCTGATCTTAATTTAGAATCTTTCTGTGCTGACCTGATTTTTAATGCAAACCTGAAGCCCAGTGCTGTGCAAATAAACTAGCTGGCGGTGAGGAGTCTGGCTGCTCCTGGACTCTGGGGTTCTTGATCAATAGCAACTTGCATCCCGTATGTGATCAAGAGGTAGATCTGAGGCTTGACCTGAATGTGGCCTTGCTCTCTGGAGCAATGGTAATTTGTCTTTTCCACTGTCTTGAAGAAGTTGCATCTAGGTCAGAGTTTTCTTAACATACTTAAAAATGGGTTTACATGTGGACTGAAAACCTCAACTTCTGGCTGTTGAAGTGCAAGCTATGGGGTGGTGGCTGCCTACCCTCTCACACTTATTTGTGACTGGCAAACCCAGAGGTTTGGGACTCTATTTTCTTAACCCACTAGCTGCAAAACTCCCACTAAACTGAATGGAGTCATTCAACTGAGTGCCAAGGCATTTCAGTGTTTGAAAGTGAATACCAGTGCATTTGCATACCTCCTGGTGTGCTGGCTGCTTTAATCCCAGAGGACAGACCTCATCCCCCACCGCCCCTAAATCACGCCACTTCATGGCCTGGGTCCCCCAGGGATTGCTCTTCTATGCTCTTTTGTGTGGATGCTCATTCACAATTTAAACATCACAAACTCTTGGTGACAATATCCTAACTAGGAATAAACTGTTGGCACGTTTCCAGGGTATAGCATCACATACGGAGTCTGGTCTGCTGAAAGGGAATTCTGCTGGAGAGTAAGGGACTCCGTTCAAACTCTAAACCTGTCCTGAAATTAATGCCTTTGGTGACTTTGTATTTTTGTTGGAGAATGCTCTATGCAGCTCTGTCTTTTTATGACTCATAATTGTAAAAACCCCTCAACTCATCTGTTTTTGAGAGTGAGATCCATCTGTGTTCAGCCTCAGGCTGCTGAGATGAACAGCAGAGCCTTCTTGGAGTTTTAGTCTTCTAAATTTCTCTTTAAAATTATACAATTCCCACATTTTCAGTAGGTATAGTGAGAGTTTTCTTCCTATTTATATATGAAATATGGTATCATGCATGTTATATGATACGCTATGTTAGATTCATACTCGAGCTAGTTTATAAACTAAGCAGTTCCACTGATATCAGTGAGAGCACTCAGCATGTGTAAAATTAAGAGCATGAGGGACAAATCTCATCACGCCTACACACAACCAGATTTCCCATTATGTCCTTTTACATGTGCTTGTAACTTTCTTTGTATCTTCTTTTACAGTGTTTCATTAATTAAGAATAAATATTTATTACTACAAAACAAAAATTCTTGTAGTTTTATGGGATAACAACTGAGCAGCTGCTGAAGTAAAAAAGAAATCTTATTTCCCATTTATGTACCAGAATTACAATGTGCTGTTTGTTGGGGAAAAAACAGCAACAAGTACAAGTAGCAATTCAGCTGTTCCAGGAAATTCTTACTCATCCAAAATAAATCTTTCTCATAATGTGCTGTACCCATGGCAGAATGCTGTAAAAAGTGCATCCAAAATATATTAATGTAAACTCCAGACGACAGTTCGTTTTGGTCAGTTTCTGAAACGTCTTTTGCTGTCCACAAATTTTTACATGAAAAGAACATTTCTTTATTTTTAGTGGCTCTTCAGTTGCTTGAGCTGTTGATTTTTCCAGGAATGATGTAGTTAACTACCATCAATTGGTTATACCTATCCTAAACCTTCAAAATTGTGGACCAGCAAGAACTGGCCTACTGTATGGATGCAGCAAGAAGTCAGATTTAGAAATTGTACATAAAGCAATGTAAATTAGACCCTTCTTTCACATGAGTAAAATGAGTGCAAGTAGGTTTAATATAACTTGAAGCAGGTGAAAAGGGGATATAATTTACAAAAAAAGCGTAAATTCTGTCAGTGAATGCAAGTGTGTTGCTGTACATACTATGGGGAGAAAAAAGAATGAGCATTAAATTAAGGTGGATTTCGCTGCACTGAGTAGATATCAAAACTATTTGGCTAACAGAGGTAGGGAGAATTCATAGTGTACTTGGGATGCAAAAATAGAATTGCTTAACATAGGGTTTGCATAAATACAAGTGTGGCTTGAGATGGGTTAACAGAAGTCAGAAGTTCCTTCAAAAGACGCAAACTGAGGTCTTCAAAAGACGCAAACTGAGGTGCAGGCTGAGGATGCTTCAAATGGCCAAAAGGCCCTTTAATTCCCTTAGCAGCACTACTTACCTGGGCGGAGAGCAAGTGCAATAGGAAGATCTACTACCCATCAGCACTGAGGCCCGGATTTTAAGCATCAATAGCAGGAATTAAGGTGCCCTCAGAGAGTCAATCCAGACCACCTGCCACCTCCCACAGTGGGCTCAGACCTGCACTGGGCTGAACCCAGCATGCTGCTGGTGAGGTGTGTGCCTCTTTGCGAGCTGTATAGGAGGCCCAGAATAAAAACTGTCTCAGTTGCATTACACATGCGAAAGCTGGTGGGGTGGGCCTGCAGTGACTAAATAAGTCTTTTAAATGAGAAGGCTGCTTCCTCCTCTGCCCGTTGCTGCCTGGCTGGTCAGACAGTGGGGAGCTGCCAGGGAGGGCAGATGGCTCCAGCATTTCACCATGGTACCTGACACAAGGAAGGACTCCCTCCAGCGTGGCAGTGACAGCGACCGGACCCCATTGGAGAAGGTCCCGCGGTAACCTGAGTGACCAGCGACTTTCTGGACAAGGATCTTCCCACCTGTGTTGTCGATTATTCCACTGCAAGGGAAAAACATGGTATTTGAAGGTGGAAGTTCCCTCCAAATAACCTAGAAACCATTCAACAGTGCAAGATGTATGAAGCATTCACTTTTACCTTTAAATCAGGACCCACAGAGGAGCTGTGAAGCTACTGCTAAGTCTGCTGCTAAGAAATATTTGTGCTTCTTCTGCACAGACAAGAGCAGTTTGTTACAAAGTGCTGTCGGGATCTGTTTGCTCTTCTCACTGATCTACTGGTCCTGTGTTTAAGGTTGACCTAGTTGCACATGAGAACAAGCCTCTGCCTTCGTTAAAATTCCTGCAAGCTTGATTGAACAACTGAAGATACAGGGAGAGGTTCTCAGAGAAGATTTTGGGCCAACCATGTGACAGAAATACAAATTTGAGGCAAATCTCCCACTCACTTGACTTTTTCTTTTGTAAAAACTTAATGTTCTCTTTGAGTTCCAGTATGTGCTATCTGCAAAAGCTAAGCCTGGTTCTGACCTCAGCCTGGAGTAAACTGAACACAATATTACTGGGAGCTGTAGAAAACCTAGCAGGCTCCACGTGTGGTGCTCATTAAATGGTGTGTGACATATGATGTAACACATATCTCAAGACAAACAGAAAACCTTCAGTGTAAGCAACCTGCTGTGGCATCATTAGGAAAGAAAGCAAACCAGGCAGCGACTGTGACTCTAGAGGGGTGGTACGACTGGCAGTAATGACACCAGGCAGGAAAACAAGTAATGGGCAGCAAAGAACGGTGAAGAATATGTTAGAGCTGTAGCTTTCTCTGATGACTGCAAGAAGCTTCTGGTAAAATAACTGTAAGGAAAGGAAATTCACCACCTGAGGAAATGCGACATATAAGCTACCAAAGCCAAACCCAGCTGGCAAACGAGGAAAACTGAAACCCCCACTGCAACAATACAGCCAGCCAGTGTTTGAACTATGGGGGAAATTGCAAGCACTATCAGTATTTTGGAACTTCCCTTTGGGACAAGTTCTGCGTGCCGAGACAGATAATTTCGATTGTGCACTGATTTTTGAAGGAAGAATTGGTCCTTTGAAAGCTGGTCACCTGGCACTCATCTCCCCAGTCGGGGGCTGAGCAGCCGGAGCAGCAGCCAGGAGGTGGCAGCCTGAGGCACACGGGCACGTCGAACCCCTACACTGCGCAGTGCAGAGTCTCCAGAGCCTTCCTTAACTATTCGACTTTACTCAAGGTCCCAGCTATTTCACAGAACGGGAAGCACTGCAATGGCTCGAATAACTCCAAATGAAGTCAAGCTGTCAATCAGATCTTGTAAGCTCTCGCTGCATTTTCAGCTGAACGCATCCTGCCTTTGCGCCTTGCCTACAATTATGGTGTGTTTTGGTTGTGAAGTTGTTCTCTATTAAAATTTTATGCACATCTTTGCACGGCTAATAAAACTCAGCAAAATCTGTGCTATAAAATTTGTATGATACGTTTCCTTGTCCAGTGCCCTTTTCTGTGGCAGGAAAGTACATTACTCAGCCTTTGTCAAGGACAGTTAAATTCAAATCTGGAGAATCAAAACCAATCCCAGAAGCATGAGGCTTATATATGTTCATAACGAATGATATGCCTATTCTATTTTTTTCTGAAGCTTTATTAGCAGCAGCAGCTCCATCCCTATCTTCCACTCGAATAATAGTACAGTAGTAATTTGCTATGCTTGAGTGAGAGATCTGCAAATCTCAAGACACTTCTTCTAAAGCTGAGAAAAGTCTTCAAACACAACTGATTTCAACAGGAATAAAGGATTGACAGCACTTTATACGACTGGATCCATGACATCACTCACGGTTTTTCTCACAGGTTCTCTACTAGAACAGCAGCCTGCAATGAAGCCTACAAGGCAGTGTGAACTTTAAAGGGTCCCAAGAGCCGAGAGCTCCCTACGCTGAAATGACAGTTTTGTCTGAGTGCCTTGCTCATTTAAACTCACTCACCTGTGAATTGCAGCATTGCACACACTGGAAAAGGAAGCGTAAATGTCTGTGCCATAAACACGGTATTTTACATCTTGACATCCAGGAGGGCATTTTGCAATGAATTCTGCGTTGATTATCTTCCCCGCCTTGACATCACAATCGATCTGGGGTACATCTGTGAGTGTAAAATCTTGGTAAAGTCAGATTGAATGTTTTTATAGCTGACTGATCTTGTCATGAAATAATAAGTAACTGAATCACAGGGATGCCCTCCTCTTACTCCTTCATATCAATGGTTTTGGAATACAAGACATGTCTATGTATTCTGCATCTACAATGTGTAACACATAATAACCCCTACACTGAGGGATGTAGCTGTAACTAAGGATGGATTAAAGAAGCCTGAGGATATATATGACCTTCAATGTTAGTTTTTCTGAAGGAAATATCCATTATGACACTTTGCTGGAGAGAGAAAGAAATGTAGCCACACAGGCTGTGGTTAACATGTGGGAAGGAGGGGGTAGGAGATGTTCTATGCACACTCCAGGCAGGACGCTTCCCAAGCCTCCCTCTGTCCTCATGTAGTTCCGTGCCATCTATAACATCAGGCTGCAGCCACATCCCATTTTTTTTGCCCTTAACATTTCAAATTATTTGCTGGGTATAATTTACTTTGAACAAGAGGTTTAAGTGTGAGTTCACAACTTCGCAGTAGGCTTGTTTGTCAACTAAATGAGAAAAATAGTCTGTGGACAGAAATGCTCTTACAGCAGTGTAGGTGAAATTTATACATCCTGGTGCACAGGACATGCACCGCTTATCTCGTGCTAACCAGCTACATATGCTTTGTGTTACAGCAGGTACATTTCACATACTTATGTCTGTGAAAATCTTAATGTTTGCTTAGATCCTCGTGTGATGCCTAATGACCTATGAAGACACGTTTTTGCAGTGAAGTACACAATTTCTCCTTTACACATGTTCGGTAGCACACACTTTACTTAGTGATTTGATTTCAGTAAAATAATCTGTTAGTTAACATATGCTCTTGTTGACTCTGCAGACAACTGTGAAGAGTTACCAGAATATAACCCCACTATGCACCTTTTTTATGCATCAGGTGCGCTTGCTGTAAAGCAGCCAAGAATACTACTGGGACCACTTACATAGCTTAGCCTTTTTCGTCTTCCTTGTGGCTTCCTTAGCTGCATACGTACATACAAGAAGCACACCTAAAACAAAGGAAATACAGTATCAGGAAAAAGGGGGGCTATCAATGTCAGTCACCACAAGCTCCTGTGCACAAGCTTGCCTGAATTTGAATCAACATGTTGAAAAAATGAAATGGGAATATTCTCAGCCACAACTAGGCTTCTGCTCATTCTTTAGCTTCACAGTCAAGATGATGTCTACTGTGGGGCAGTTTTTTGAAGCGGATTAAAGATTAATTAAATTCAGCTGGCACATTCACCTGTGAAACTCACTATCAAAAGATGCCATTGAGTCCCCGTGGTTCAGAAAATCATGAAAGGCCCCAGTATTTCCACAAGCGGTGGAAACTCTTTGTAATTGGTGCAATAGAAATGTCAGTGAAACAAGATGCTTTGTGCATAAAGCAACGGGGAAGGTAGGAAGATCCTTCTTAGCAGCCCTGTGGAGAGATTATCCTGTAATTGTGTGTTGTGGCATTTCACTCACTGATGGTAGCAGGTATGGGATACTGGGCAGCATCACAGACTGTGTGAGGTTCTAGTGTGGCATGTCCCAGTATCCCATCCCAGCAAGGGCACTGATTTTCTTCAGTAAGCAGAATTATTATTTGAAAAGTGTAATGGTAGAAGAAACACACACTGCTATGTTAAAACATACATCATGATATATGTGTGTAGCTTACCTTGTTAGGTTTACTTGCTAAGTGCATGACATACAAAACCTCTTCATTCTCTGTATTATTTTATATGCACTCTATTATGGGTAGTTAATAACTTTGTTACAAATAGCTCGACCTTCCTGTTCCCCTTTCCCTTCCCTGAGCTTTCAGAGGGAATTGAAACTCTCTATGATGTATTGGCTGATCCTCTCATCATTTGTTAAGTTAATGTTACTAGAATATGTAACAGCGGTCTTATTTCTTTCTTTTATGCTCTTCTTCCCCTAGACTGGTTGCAGAGAGTTTGCAGACTTAATAACACTTAGAACTTGCTCAAAAGAAAAATCAGTCTCACAGTGTCTGAAGGGACAATGTATAGATGCAGTATTGGGGCCTTTTGTCACTGGTGCAGTTGTGTAACTAAGGCAAAACTGTAGTTAGAGAAAAAAGGTGAGAACCAGTGGAAAATAAAGTGCGAAGTCCCAACCACATGCAATGTTAGAGCATAATTTAATGTGGAGAAAGTAATTTGGTCTCTTATTAAAAAAAAACCTACGTAACTATGAAGTTGAACTAAGGATGGATATCCTGCTAGACTTGAAAGTTCCAGCCAGAGGGAATATTGCCTGGGAATATTGCAATTAGAGTAATACAGCACCATTAGGCTTCATGGTGGCTAGATCTCCATCAAAGGGAGACAAGTAAGTAAAGTACCCTAAGAAACCATGCTTGATCAACCAGATTGTTCATGCAAGATGAATTGCAAATTCTGGAGTCCCTACATGCTCTCAAAAAGCAAGATCCTGTCTCCCAGAGGAAATAAAATAAGACACATTTATAGCCTTTTTCCTTTGGCATCTTCTTGTTCATGGAAAGAACAAGAACACAGAGATAAATCAAGAAGGGATGCTTCAACATATGAAACAGCTGATTTTTCTTTGGAGGGAATCTTTACATTACAGATATTTTTCAGGCCCAGTTGTGCCATCTGATATGGACTGCAGCTAGCTGGTCATGTCCTTAGAGATTTATGCAAATAGTATTGTTTCTATGCCAAAGTGAAGAAGTTTGGGTAGCCCATTTCTGAAAAGCTATGCTAAGACTTAGTCCACCCACCACTGACAGCTTCATCAGTTGTGGAGTCCAGAGGGAAGAGAAAAAGCTAGCAGCCCCGGGCCAGCCAGGAGAGGAGGATACAAACCCACAAACTATTAATTGCAGCACATCAACTGTACTTACCAAAGAAGATTGCAATGACTGTGGCCTTCATGGTGAGTAAAGCAAAATCTGGATGTGTCACTAAGGAGCACTGAAAAGGAAAAGAAGAGTATGTCAGGCTACATTCAGACATATTGCAGATGATAGTGGAATGGTGGGGGAAGAGGGACTGTGCACTCTTCTTCAACCTTGCACAGTCCTCACATGTTGCATCCTCTTCTCATGCTTTGTAGAGCAGCTGATGTCCCCAGAGGAGAGAGTGCTTGGACTGTGGCACTCCCATGGACTAGTTTTTCACTTCTGTCCAAGATTTGCCTCTTGTCTCAGGAAACCAAGGTTTCAATCTACATACTTATTTCTGAGGCCAGTGGTAGCAGAGGGCATGATGGGTATGGACATGCTCTGACAGCTATTCAAGTTCATTCACTGCCCTTCTAAGGCATATTCATAGAATCATATTGTCTGTACATCAAATCACACCACGTAATCTCATAAAGATACAGGGAACATTAGTCTGTTTGCTCTTGAAGGGTGTTGCATAAAGTATCTTGCAATTGTGACATCACTTGTAAGCCAAATTACTGGTTTCTTTCCTTTTCTGAGGATGTGTGTGTGTGAGAGAGAGAGTTTAAGGGGACTTTGTTGGAACATTTGGACAACATTGTTTTCTGGGTCTGTATATGTGATTCCTGACTCCTGCCATCCCAAACCTCTTGGCCAGGCTACCAGAATACAAATTTACCAGAAGTAACCCCTTTCAGTTCCTCCTGAGTGTCACCTCCCATGCTGCTTTTGCAGTTATTTGGGATTGTTGGAAGAATCTCATGGGTTGGGCACTAATAATTAATCTCAGTTATTAAAATACTAACAGCTGCTTATTAAATATTAGAGTAAAAAGTCTGAGAGGGAGAAAATATTTACATGTTGTACAGGAAAAACTGAAGAATCAAAACAAACTTGGTCTTCAAAGAAACTGGTTACATGCTTACAAATTAAAAGGTTTGTACTAAAATAAAAATTAGCTTGCTATCTGTACTAAAATAAAAATTAGCTTACTATCAAGGAAGAAAATACATGGAATGTTAAAGCTGTAAATGATCAAGAAAAGCAAGACATCTCCTTCCTGGAAAACATGGCAGTGGCTACTCAGAACCAGGGTTTTGTCTGCCCCAGAAGGAAGTTTAGACTAACAGAGTAGATATGGGAGAAAGAGAAAAAAATCTGTATTCTCTCTTCATATACAATGTTTTCACATTTTTTATTTTAATTGCTTGTCTTTTTCAAGCAAGCCACATGCTTCTTGAGTGAGGATGACTAAAATGGTATGCTAGACTAAACTGAGTTCAATCAGTTCTAAGCATATATCATTTATAAACATTTTTACATGGACCAGCTGCACTTCTGATTTCTGCTTCTGTCCTGTGGTCAGAGAACTTCAAACCTCGAGACATACTAACAGTATCACTTCCTGATAGTACCATGTCTTTCCTTAATGATCTCCCTAAAATGACTCTTCTGCGAGGCTGCTAAAGCTGAAAGCAACAGAGATTGCTCAGAAGACACTGAGCTGAATCCCGGGGATGTGGAAAGTGGCTCAACGTGATGACTGTGTCTTTCTGCAAAACGATGGATAGTGCGGTTGGGGTCACCCCAGACTGTACAAGCCATAGCAGCAAGAGCAGTTGTGTGGTAATGTTCTGCAGTCGCTGTTAGTTTATGTGGAAAAACCTTGCCCACCTCCTGGAAGAAAAATCCATTTGAAGCATTTCCTGCAGTGTGAAGCTGCTAAAGGAAACAGTAACAAGTTGTAGAAAAGAGTTCAGAGTAATCAGCTCTGATGTTTTCTTCTTCACTTATATGTCTCAACCCATCACCACATCATGTTGTCCTTCAAGGGTATCAAATAATTGTCCCCTCCTCACAATGATTTCTCACTTCACGTCAATCCCAGAAAAAGAAGAGGCAGGAGAAGAGTTGCAGGTCGTTTGCAGAACCACCATGCACCCTTAAAGACTATACTGGCACTGACTTTGGCTTTGGAAAATGCACCTTAATATGAGCATTCCCAAAATCTACAGTGAGTAAATTCAGCAGTGGCATCTTTATTTAAAGTCAGAGAGAGCGGTGGAAATTTGTCCTGATGGTATTTGGCTCAGTACTGAGGTATTTTCATCTCCAGCTTAACTAGAGTAGAAAAGGTTTGAGATGGTAAAGGACCCAAGTAAAAGCTAACTTCATGGGTGAGTTGCTGTGTGCTTTGTATAGAGATTCCAATACTACCTAACTTTTCCTGTCTCACACAATGTATAAACCACCTGTACCATCAGTGCTGCACAAGACTTCTCATTGCTTTCCGAAGGCCCTGCCGTCTCCAAGCCCCGCTGTCACCAAGCCAAAACCAGCCACCCTGGGAGCCATCCCGGCCCTCTTGGGTGGTACTATCCCAGACTTGGCTGCAATTGCAACCTCTACCTAGTCTGCTGGTATTGCTTTTCAAGGCAACAGAAAGTGTTGTGGACTTTTTTCTAAAATATGGTGAATTTCCTGCAGAAAGAGGCCAATAAATCTACAAGGAGCTCATATATGAAGCCTATTGGGGGCAAATTATTTCAGCAGACCCCTTAGCCTGCAATAACAGATATTTTATCAACAGGAGAGTTAACAGAAACATTTAGACAAGGCTGTTAGATTTACTTAACGGATTTGTTGTCATAGCTACACTCAAAAGCATCCTATTGTGGACTCTATGCTTTTGCTGGTGCAGTTTACAGTAGCATCCCGATGGAGATAAATTATAAGAGCAAAGAAACTTATATTTTGCCACTATGTCAAATTCTGCATTAGGCACTGGTATGCCAGGAAAAATGTACAGACATCCTCTGACACAGCTCTGGTGGCAACACTCTTTGGGGGGGGTCCTGGCCTTCAGACCTTGGGCTGTCACATGGGGGAAAACGTAGGAGGATTTACACTGCTGACCATTAGTGTCATTAAAGGCTCCAAGCTTTCCGCTATGGGAAGTCTGTGTGCGTTCACTGTATTTGGGGCCTAGGGAGTCACCTGGTTTAAGTCGTCTCAGACCTCCTATACTGTGTACTAGCATGGCAGCCACTACTTCAAAATGGTAAAGGGAGTAACAGCCTGGAATAAAACAGTGGCGTGGTTTGTTTCTCTGGGAAGGAAAGGGAAAGCAGGGCTCTGACCCTGCAAACAGATCCATTCACAGGACAGGTTTTTTAGTCCATTCAGATCCTGTGACAAGTGTCATTCTTGATCTACAGATCCCAAAACCTCCCGTTGGATCTGAATGGACTAAAAAACCTGTCCTGTGAATGGATCTGTTAAACACAAAGCTATTGTTCCTTTATCAAATGAATAGATTCTGTTAAAATAAACTCAAAACTTTCTACTTTGGGTTAGTCTGGAGTATGAGCTTTACTGAGACTTCTCTTTACTAGATTTCCATTAATGCAGTATTTGCAATCCCAGATAGTACTGGTAACTAGTGGCCGTGCAGTATTAAATCTCCTAAACTGTACGATAGATCTTTGTTTATCAGAGTATGGTTTCTCACTGATGTCCTTCAGACTGCCATAACAGAAGTTACCCTTATACCAGGAACGCAGTTAAGTATATGCATTACATTAACACGTGCTTAAATCCCCGCTAAGTCAAGTACAAATCTAGTAAGAAGCGTCTCCTCCATGGTTTTCCAGTGCAGGTCCTATTTTACCTGTAAAAATCAAATTTCTGTTTGAAAGAATTTTGATTACTTTTTCCCTACCACAAATACTTCAAAAAGCTTGAGTGTTAGGGAAGAGACAGATTTAGTAAGCTATTCTTTCTTCAAATAAAGTAAGATTTTTAGAGTGACCTTTTATTAGCAGCTTGACTTTTATAAATATCTGAGAAAGCTGCTACATGATGCAAACAAACAGATGGTTTAAATCTGTATAAATTGTCACTGTATGGCAAACTATAACATTTTCTGATGGAAGTGTAGGTTTTAAGTCCTTGATATTTGGTGTCAGGCACTGCTGTCCGTCCCACGTGCAAACAGGAATTCTTTGCTGGTGCCACGTGCTTTGTCTCTGCAGGAGTAAGCAGTTTATTTCCTGTAATCTCCTGTGCTGCAAAATTAATTTGTGTGCTCTCTTTGTACCACGATAGTGTGTGCTATTGTTCTGCTTCTCAAGGGTTTGTAATATTGCAGCAGCAACGGCACCATAACAAAACAGAAGTGGACTTTGTTTGAAAGCTATCTGAGCAAGCAGCATGGAGTTAACAACACAATCTCTAAGCATTGTGGGTTGAGTTAAATAAGTGCCCTTTATGGGAAAATCAAGTGGGCTTAGTGTAGGTGTGAGTAAACTGGTTTGGACAAACGAGGTGATCGTTGTCTTCTAGACTAAAATATTCTAGGTTATTTTTTTGTTTGTTTTCTTTTGTCTCTTTCTAAAAAACTGTTTAATCTTTTCTTTGTTTCATGCTCAGATTCTGTCCCATGGTATTGTAAAATGCTCAGTGGTATAATAACTGTTCATTTTGGTGTACACTGGGTAACATGGCTAACACTTGTCACACGCGATTTAGTTTCACTCCCTTTCTTGTCAGAGGGAAAGAATGGTGTATACTCACTGTGCTGTGTTGTTCTGAAAGTCTATACGTAAAAAAAAATATCCAAGTGGTTGTTTATTTTAAAAAGGCAAGTAATGAGTTCTGCTGAGTCAGAAAAGCCAAGTTGATAACTATATTCATTTCAGGGGCTCAGATTGCCTTGTAGGTAGCCCGGGCCAGGTCATTGGGTACCAAAAGGTAAGATCCAGGGTGCTATTTTGGAAGGATGAGCTTGTTTGCATGAGATGATGTACTTTATGCTTTGAGTGGTCTGAAATAGAATATATTCATCCAGGAATTAGAAAATATCACAGACTTCATCCCCTTCTCTATAAAAAAGGCGATTGAATGTTCACCTTTTTTCCTTCATATATGAAGGAAATTGCATGGAGCTTGCTATAACTGAAGCAAGAGAAAGAGAATATCTGTACCAGT